TCCATTTCGATCGACTCCCGTAACGAAAACAAGTCCGACGAACCCAACACCAGCGGTAATTTCTCGCCCCCCTTTTGATTCTCTGTTTCAAGAATCGAAATTGATTGAAACCACCGTTGAATCTAACTCAATTCTTGTATTCTTCTTCAAGAGTTTAAGGACGTTTCGTCTCCCGCCACTCTAGCCGTTAGCAGGTTCGATCCCCATGAAATAACCGGCCCTCTCGGTAATTATCGGACCCATTTCGGATTCTCCAAGAAAATCAAAGATTGCCCATTTACTCTCTTTCTTTGTTAATGCAGACGACTACTGCGAGATGAAACTTGAAGTCAGCAAGGAAGCTGGAGAAAATGCGCTTCTGAAATTGGATGAATCATAGTATCAGACGTTGGCCGGAATTTCACCTGCTGGGTTTACCACAGTGTTCTGGATGCTGAAAGATGGCAAAATACCCAAATCCACCCTTAAAGTATAGTGACAGGGACAGATCCACCCTCAAACAAAAAAAGGGACAAATCCACCCATAAAGTTTTCGACTTGGATAAATCACCCCAAATTTAACATGTGACATCATCTAACATCAGCAATCCGTTAATTTGTTAACAGATTGTTGACGTCAGATGATGTCAAATTAACAAATTGTTGATGTCAGATGACGTCACATGTTAAATTTGGGGTGATTTGTCCAAGTGGAAAACTTTGTGGGTGGATTTGTCCCCGTTTTTTGTTCTGTGGTAGATCTGCCCCTACCACTATACTTTGAGGGTGGATTTGGGTATTCTGCCTAAAAAATTGTAGGACTGGGGATAGCTATTGGCTCAATGCACTCCAAGAAGGGGGTGAATTGGAATAGGGAAGTTTTCACCTCTTTGCAACCACAAAATAAAAATTAAAGAAAGAGTAGAGAAGAAGAGCTTGCACAATGATTTTATAAAGGTTTGATCTAATTACTTGGAGCCTAATCCTCCACCTTGACTTCACTCACCAAGGATTTTCTCCACACTCTCCACTAAGAAAAACAATGGTGGCTTAAAGGAGCCACTCAATCTTTTGCAAGAAAAAGGGTATTTCTCTCAAATCTCACCCCTTTATAAGATAAACCCCAAGAATCCTCTCTACAAATCCTCTCTACAAATCACTCTTGAAAGAATAATCACACCCCTAAGATCACTCACAAATAGAACAAGAAGAGGATTACAAGAAAAATCACTCAAAGATCAAATACTCAAGTTAAAGCACAAGTTGATAGGTAGAAATATTTAATACAAAGCTCTTCAAACTTGTTCTAGATTTACTACCAACCATATTTATAGTCCCTTGCTCAAAAATAGTCATTTCTAGCCATTGGGGGTCATTTAATGCTCTGCAAGATGTGTGATTTTGAATTGCAGAATTGTCAGCATAGTTGGCTTAGACTTCTAAAGCCGGCTGCACAGCCGACTTTGAGGGTTTCCTGCACATTCTGTTTTCTCCGTAAAGCCAGCTTAGAATTTTGCAGCTGGCTTTGTGGGTTTTTTACACATTCTGTTTTCTTAGATAGCTAGTTGCAAAGTCTAAAGCCGAATTTTGGATTCCGATTTTAAAAACATTAAATAATCTTCAAATAATTTGACCATTACGCATTAAATGCACCTTCACAGCCGGCTGCAAAGTCAAAGCTGGCTTTAGATTTATTTTCCGAGCACGCCAAACAATGGACTTGAAATTTTCACCCGTAGAGTCAGCTGTAGCTTCTAGAGCCGACTATCTACAATTTTACCTTCCAAAGCCAACTACTTCCTTAAGCCGGCTCTCTGCACATTTTTAGCCTTTTTGGTCCTTTTTAGTACAATCCAAGCTCACTTACTTTTGCAACCTATTAGAAGTTTAACTACACACTTAAATAAATCAATTAGTCACTCAAATGTATTTTGTAATTATCAAAATCATAGGTATAACAATAGCCATACCAATAATTTCTGAAATTTCCATTTTTATTTAATTAAGTATTTTGATTTATCAATTAATTTTATTTCGAATTTATTTATTTATTTATTTTGTTTTTCCAGATGATGAAACAAAGGTCATGGCCCTCGTATCCAATATGAAGAAGTTGGGCTTCCATACATGTTGCATGGGTTGGGTCCATGAAGTGGCACTACGATTGATTTCCAATCTAGTTTTTGCTTTTGTTAGTATGGGCCACGGCCCAGGATTCTTTCTTTCCTTAAAAAAAAAAAAAAAAAACATTTTTCTCCATTTGGTACCCTATTTTTTGAGCGGTTGAATGCTAATTTTAGTCACTCAATTTTAAGTTTTGCACTTTTTTAGTCTCTCAACTTTTTTTTTGCATTTTTTTGATCTCTCACTCTAAAAACTACACAATTTTGGTCCCTCCATCAGTTATTTATGATGTGGTCATTAAATAATTCTAAAATAGCATTTTTTTAATTTCTTTTGATGACATGGCAATATAATATATTATAAGTTTGTTACGTGGATAAAAAAATACCAAATCACATAAATATTCATATTTTTAATAAAATGAAATAAAAAAATAGAATTATCTTAGTACCTAGTCTCCCTCTCTCAATCCATCTTCTTCTCCTCTTTCTTCCTATTTACTCTAATTACAGTTGAACCAGCATAATTTGGGTTCTATTGAACCTAGCTACTGTGTTTAACAAAACCCACTTGTTAGGTTTCATCAAACCTAGTAGATCTCATCGAATTAAACTAACTTCTCATTCACTTGGTAATAAAAAAATCTCAATCAAACCCTTATCAAATTCCAACATAAATGAAATCAAATTCCAGCAAATCAACTCCAAATTTTGAAAAAATCTACAAAGAATAGGTACAACAGGCAAATCAAGAACTAAGAATGGAAAGTCAAAGAAGAACTTACATCTATTGAGTTCTGTTGAACTCGCTTGTTGGGTTTCATCGAACCCGATCTATCGGATTTGGGGAAACTGAAGGAACCCAACAGTTACTGGGTTCATAGAGAGGACGAAGAAGGGGAAGAAGATGAATCAAGAGAGGGAGACAGGGGTATTAAGGTAACTTTATTGTTTTTTATTTTTTTATTAAAACTATAAATGCTAATCTAATTTGGCATCTGATTTGTACACGTAACTAAATTATAAGATGTGTTATTGCCATGTCATAAAAAAATTAAAAGAAAATGCCATTGTAGAATTATTTAACTGCCATATTATAGATAACTGACGAAGGGACCAAAATTGTAGTGTTTAGAGTTGAGAGATCAAAAAGGTGCAAAAAAAAAGTTAAGGAACTAAAAAAATGCAAAACTATAAAGTTAAGGGACTAAAATTAGCATTTAACCTTTTTGGGCACATTTTGTGGAAATTTTCATAATTGTTTAATAGAAATTTTTCTAATATAGGGTCACAAAATTTGTTAAAAACAGAAAAAAAGCGAGATTAAATTTACTTGATTATTTTATAAATATTTAGAAAGGATGTAAATTTTTGTGCAGGAAGAAGGGATTGAGGTTAAGTGGGAAGGTTAAGGAGACGAAGGGATAAGCAAGTGGATATACAATTTAGCTTTCTTGTGCAAAAACGCATATTTGCAGCAAAGGTAGTTATGGCATAGAGGATGTATTTTCACATACTAAATGTAGTGGGAAACCTACTTAGGTGCCCTCTTGGGTCTGGAGAACTGGGACACCTCTGTTTCTTCTCTCTTCATAGCCGCCTGCGCATTCCTTTGGTCGTTGGGGCTGCTTTTGATTTTGTGAATACCCTTTAAAGTTGAAACTGTAAGGAAGAAAAAAGTGAAAAGCATTAATTCTTTGATTGATATATTGATTCATATATTGGGTACTATTAGAAACAAAAAAGGAGAAGAAATATTGAAGAAAGGTTTATTACTCTCTTAAATAATATTGTATATATAATGACCTATATATAGGTGTTTATAAAAAGAATATTCTAAGGTATAAAATATACAAAGAGAATATTCCAAAGTATAAAATATTTACAATAAATGTGTTCACATCTTAACATCCCTCCTCAAACTCAAGGTGGTTGTGATGAAACCAACTTGAGTTTGGAAACAAGAGTATGAAAGCGTCCATGAAAATGAGCCTTGGTGAAAAGGTCTGCTTGTTGATCAGCAGAGCCAATGAGGACCAAATGAACAATTCCCTGTGCAACATGATGGCGAACAAAGTGATAATCAACCTTAATGTGTTTAGTGCGTTCATGGAAGATATCATTATGAGCAATTTGCATGGCACTTTGATTGTCATAATAAAGATCAGTAGCAGGCGGTTGAGGAACACCCATATCTTTTAGTAGCCAACATAAGTTAAGTAACTCTGATATGGTGTCTCCAAGTGCTTGATATTCGGCCTCTGTGCTAGAATGTGATGGAACTGGCTGCTTCTTGCTATGCCAAGAGATTAGGGAATCACCAAGAAAAAGACAATATCCAGTGACAGATTTATGATCATTAAAGTCTTTAACCCAATCAGCATCAAAGTAAGCATGAAGTTCAAGAGATGAATGAGTAGAAAAGTGAAGTCCATGAAAAATGGTACCTTTAATATAACGAATAATACGAAGTACTGCTACATAGTGAGTGGAGCGAGGTGTAGCCATAAACTGGCTAACAACATGAACTACATAATCTATGTCTGGTCGTGTTGTAGTAAGATAAATCAAACTTCCAACCAACTATCTGTAGCGAGTAGGATCAGCTAATGGAGAACCATCCATGGGTGTAAGCCGAACATTTGGCTCAAAAGGAGTAAATGCAACCTTACTATCAATGAGTCCAGCTTTAAATATAAGATCAGAAGCATATTTTGTTTGGGAGAAAAGATAACCATCATCAGAAGAAGTGACCTCAAGTCCCAAGAAATAACTCAAAACACCAAGATCTTTCATCTCAAACTTATGACTAAGAAATTGCTTAACATCATGAATACCTGACATGTCATCCCTAGTAATGATCATATCATCAACATAAAGAAGTAGTAGAACCATACCATGATTAGTCTTGCGTATGAACAATGCAGTATCATAAGGACTAGAAGTAAAACCAAATTCATTAATGGTGGTGCTAAACTTGGGAAACCAGGCTCGAGGTACTTGTTTCAAACTATACAAAGGTCGCTTCAAATGACAAACTTTGTTTGGAGGATACTCAAGTCCAGGAGGTGGTTGCATGTAAACTTCCTCTGTAAGATCACCATTTACAAAGGCATTTTTCACATCCATCCTAAACAATTTCCATCCTTTTGCAGTAGCAATAGTAATCAAAATATGAATTGAAGTAAGACGAGCAACAAGCACAAAGGTTTCCTCATAATCAATCCCATATTCCTGAGTAAATCCTTTAGCAACCAAACGAGCCTTATAACGCTCCACGAAACCATCAGATCAAGTTTTGATCTTGGACACCCATTTACAACTTACTAAAGGCTTTCTAATAGGAAGATTAACTAAATCCCATGTACGAGTTTTCTCAAGAACTTGTAATTCATCTTGCATAGCTTGCTACCAAAAAGGGTTAGAAAAGGCCTCTTGATGGGATTGAGGCTCATGTAGGGAGGTAATATTAGGAAAATAATGATAGTCACAAAGATAGCTAGGAGGATTTCTTACCCGAGTAGGACAACTTGAAGGTGGACTAAGGATCTCATTTTCAGGCTCAATACCAACAGGGTCAGATCCAACAGGTGATACATAAGAAGAAAGGGAAAAAGACTCAGCATTGTCTAATGCATTACCAACAGGCAGAGCATCTTTTATAGAACCAAGTGGAGCATGTAGAAGGCATCATAGAGCTCATCAAATGTATCTGCATTAGAGTCACTAGGAAATAGCTCAATAGAAGGGTTAGTAAAAGTGGAGGTTGATCAAAAGATGACACCTGGAAGTTTGATAACGAGGAAAACATAGTGTGTTCCCAAAAGACAACATGATGTGAGACTCGAAGTTTTTGTGACACAGGATCCCAACAACGATATCCTTTATGTGTAATCCCATAACCCAAAAAACCACATAATTGCACTTTAGGCTCTAACTTGTTATGTTCATGAGGGGGAAGAAGAACAAAACAAGCACAACCAAAAACCTTAAGAAGATCATAGGCAGGAGGAATACCATGTGTACATTTGTATGGAGACTTATTATTGATGAGTGATGATGAAATCTAATTAATGAGATAAACAACTGTAAGAGCAGCTTCACCCCAAAATCGCTCTAGACAAGAAGACGAAATGAGCAGAGCACAAAAAGTATCAAGGATGTGTCTATGTTTATGTTCGGCTTGCCCATTCTGTTCAGAAGTGTAAGGGCAAGATTATTGTGCTAATGTACCCTATTCTTTCAAAAAGAATTGAAGTTTAGTACTAAGATACTTAGTGACATTATTAGTTTTCAAAACTTTGATAATTTTAGAGAACTGGGTTTTGACCATGGTAGCAAAATCAATATAAATTTATGATAATTCAGAGCGATTTTTCATAAGATATATCCAAGTAAAATGAGTATGATTATCATTAAATAACACAAAGTACCTGGAACCCCCTATGGTAGGTGTCGAAAATGGACCCCAAACATCAGAATGCATGAGATCAAAAGAAGCAACAAAAAGAGAATGACTACTAAAAAAAGATAAAGCTGATTGTTTTGCATATTGACATGACACACAATGTAAGGATTCATTTAGAATAGATCCTAATAAACCACGAGAGATAAGTGGACAAAGTTTACCAACTGAGGAATGTCCGAGCCGTGAGTGCCACAAATGAAGAGGAGAAATGTTAGCAGTAGCATAGGCTTGGAAGATTTGTTGATATGAAATTTGTAAAGACTCTAATTCAACAACACAAAGTAGGGTTTGGATGAATCAATCATTTGGAAATGATGGTGTATCCATTTTATTATCAGGAATATGCAGATAGTTGAGCTCAAATAAACGCCCCACCTTGCGACCGGTTCTAAGAAGTTGTCCTGTCTGTGGGTCCTGCACACAATAACCATGAACAGAAAATGTTATTTCAAGACCAAGATCACACAATTGACCGACAAATAGAAGATTACAACTAAGTTTTGGAACCAAGAAAGCATTTGGTAAAGACAATGACTTTGTAGAAATATTGCCAATGTGATTAACATTCATAGGGGAGCCATCAGCAAAATAAATATCAAGAAAGAAATTATTTGGTGACATTGAAGAAAAATGAGTAATAGTTGGAGACATGTGATTACAACAACCAGAATCAAAATACCAAGGTTTAATACCTAGAGTAGTAGATAAGGTAGTAGGAGCATTAAGAAGATTTAATATCACCTGTTTTAGGGATTTAGGGTTGATAATAGGTTGGTCTATCACCTCTTTGGCAACCATTGCAGCAATAGGATGAGTCGCAATTCTTTCAAAACTTGCATCGAATCAATAGAACTCACAATACTAGAAAAATCTCTAAAAATATGAATAAATAGATGTCAAGATTGAACTAACAACTTAACAAAATACCTCAAAAAGGGCTTGAAAATAAACAATCCAATCTGTAAAAGAAGAGAACCCAATGACAAAATTTAAGATCTAGAATAGATCTGAAAATCCAACTCATAAACCAAATAGTGATGATAAAAAAAGAAGAACCAAGAGCTTATAGCTCTGACACCATGTTAGAAATAGAAAAAGAGAAGAAATATTGAAGAAAGGTTTATTGCTTTCTTAAATAATACTGTATATACAATAACTTATATATAGGTGTTTACAAAGAGAATATTCTAAGGTATAAAATATTTACAATAAATGTGTTCACATCTTAACAAATACCTAGTAATAGTTGAGAGAGAATTTGGATTCTGTTTTGATATCGTTGTGATTTGAGTATAAGCACCCGAATTTTCTTGTATGTGTGATGTTGCATTGAGTTTCAAGAACATGATGCTAATGAGAATGATTTCATTGAGAAAATGGTAGTCTTTTGAGTGTATATACAATGCAGTGCAGTTTCCATCTTGGAACTTTAATATGATGATTTTAAACTATATTTTTAGTCTAGAAAGACAGAGAAGCACAACATGCTATATATGCATTGAGCTAGGATGTGGTTCTTTAAGATCCACTATTATTCTATTCATAAGTCTTGTGATACAAGCTTAATCAATAGAGTCTAATGTCTACTAGTTATGGTGTCTCACAAAAAGCTTGCTTCTAACTTGCGCTTACAGTTAGCAATTTTCTTCTAAGTCATTCTCAACTAGCAAATTGGGTGACAAGGACAAGAATGTGGTTTATCTGTGATATTTGAACAAGCTTGGGACTTGCATCTTTTTACATGATTGTAAGGCAGCAAATCAGTTAACATTCTCGTGAATTACTCAACTAGATATTGAAAAGAACTTTGCTTGAGCTTATTCTTGTATTCCCACTCTCAAACTTAAGTATTGATTTCTGTCGCTGCTTTCCTTGGAGACGCTCCAACTCCTCTTTGCCATGGAACTCTTCTTCTCTCCATCTTTCAGTTTTGTTTCTTACCATAATGACATCATTTGATATTATGTGAATGTGAATAAGGTTGAGATTTAATTGAATACATGTATGTGTACATATAGCAAAGATAAAATGAAAGCATGTTTGTGAGCGCATGGCTAGGAACCTAGGATGGAATTAAGATAAAATGAATGTTGCCTCAATATGAACCTTGAACAATATGGACTCCATTGCTGATAGCCACTCCTCCTCAAAGTTGGCTGATTTCATGAGATAATTTTTCTATTTTGAGTTTTTCTTTTGTAACAATTACAGGTTTGTTTTGGGCGTGGAGCTTATGAGTATGACCTCAACATATCAACAGCAAAAGCTTTACCTTTCAAAATCAGCTCATTTGAAGCCCTACTTATGGTTTCACTTTTCTTCCTGGTGTGCTATTGTTTACATCATAAATTGCAAGATTTAAGATTATGTCACATTTCAATTTTTTAAATGGTTGAATGAAATTACACCACATCAGATATACTGTTTTGAGGCCCTTGATAGGTCAAATGCCACATAATTATAAGAGAGAGAGAGAGAGAGGGAGAGAGAGAGAGAGAGAAAGGGACCAAAGAAATGAGATTTATCCTTTAGTTGCTTATTTGAGTCATGGTGGAATTGTATCAGCTAGTTTTTAGGAGTTCACTTCAATTAAGATTGTGAGCTGGTAAATAACAAGGATAGCTGATGAAACTTGGATGGAGATCTAATTCAATCGAGGTGTTCATCATCTTCAAGAAACAACCTATATTCTTGTAATCACCTAGTAGTGGGGAAAGTTGTAAGCGGGGAAAAGACAAACAAAAGGAAATTTT